TGGGTATGAGGTTTTCTTTGGGGGTGATGAAATGTTTGAATCTTGATAGAAGTAGTTGCACAACATTGTGAATGTACTAGATGCTACTGAATTGTATACTTTGAAATGATTAATTTTATGTTATGTGAATTTCACCTAAAAAAAACCCAATATTCATTTAAAATGTATTCAATTATTGGATCCCTCTCTCTTCTCCAATAATGTTAAAATAGCTACTAAGCATCAAATGTTAAAAAAAAATTAAAAACTTAATGGGAGCTGTATTAGTCTCCTAGGACTTCCATAAGAAAATACCCAGACTGGATAATTTAGAACAAAAAGAATTTATTTTCTCACAGTTCTCACAGTGAGAAAAATTCATTTCTCACAGGCTAGAAGTTCAAGATCAAAGTGTTAGCAAGTTTAATTTCTCCTGAAGCCTTTCTCCCTGGCTTATAGATGGCTGTCTTCTACCTGTGTCCTCACATGGCCTTTTCTCTGTGTGAGCACCTCTCTTCTGTCCTTTCCTCTTCTTGTAAGGTCAACAGTCAGATTAGATTAGGGCCGCACCTCTATGTCCACCCCTAGGCTTAAGGTTAATTACCTCTTTAGAGGCCCTATCCCCAGAGGCCTTTGCAGGGGTTAGGGCTTCAACACATGAGTTTTGGAGAAACACAGTTCAGTCCATAACAGAGATCAATGCAACAACATCAGCAAGTCAGACTCACACACATTCTCTGCCTAGAAGTTTTCCCTTAAATTAATATTTAAATTTAAACAGTTCCAACAACTGTTTTTGACATTTTTTGTTGATGTCATTGTTGGAATTGAACAAAATTATGTCAAAGTTACTTGGAAGAACAAATATATGAAGAAGTCGCAAATTATTTTTAAAGAAAACAAATGAAAGAGAATTTGCTGTATGAGATATTAATGTATAGTACATTAATGAATAGTACAGCAATGTATACTACAACAATAAAAACAATCTAGAGAAACACCAGAACAAGTCATTTTTTTCTTGATAAAACAGGAGTGAAATGTCCAGAAATAGACTCAAGTATGTACTAGAGAGTGTTATATGGAAAAGCTAGTATTTTAAATCAATAGAGAAATAATTAAAAAAAAAGGCACTGGAATATCTAGATAACCTTTTACAAATACGATTAGGTTAGAGTTCTATCACAAACCATCTACCAAAATAAAATCCAGAAAGCTTAAAGCTTTAAGTGTTTAAAAAATATACACATACCTACAAACACATACATACAAGCATGCTACATAAAGAAGTCCTACAAATCAATAAGAATAAGACAAACAATCCAACATAAAAATGGGCAAAAGATATGAATAGGCACTTCTTTAAAAAGGATATCCAAATGGCCAAAAAATATCTGTAAAAGGCCTTAACATCATTAGTCATAAGGGACATACAAATGAAAACTCCAATGAGAACCAACTAACTGGAAAAAGGCAAACATGCAAAGTAACTTGAACTCCTTTATGCATTGCTAGTGAGAGTGTAAATTGGTACTACCATTTTGGGAAACTGTCTGGCCAAATAAGTCTATCCTATGACCCAGGAACCCTATACTCTGGTATATGACAGAGAAATAAGCATTTATGTCCACCAAAGACACATACAAAAAAGTTCTTCATAGTTGCAAGCTGTAAACAATCCAATGTCAACCAACATCAGAATTGATCAATAGTTTGTGGTATAATCATACAATGGAATACTGCTCAGTAATCATAAATAATATTTACTACTACACGTAAGAATATAGTTGAGTCTCACAGACATAGGCCAGAACAAGAGTCATATTGTCTGATGTTCAAAAGCCAGAAAAACTAAGCTATGGAAGCAAAGATCAGAACAGTACTTAACTTTAAGAAGGGTATTCACTGGGTGGGGACATGGGGGAAACCTGCTAGAGTACTGGAAACAGTCTATCCTTGATCTGGGTGCTATATGTGTGGATGGATACATACTTAAAAATTCATCAAGCTTCACACTTTTTTGAGCACTTAACTCTATGTAAGAAAAAAGGAAATACACACATACTGAAAAGTACTAAAAGAAAATATAGATGGGGAACAGTTACATAATCTTAAGAGATAGGGAAGGTCTTTGTAAACATGATCCAAAGATAAAAACTAGAAAGAGAAAAATGAATTTAACTTCATAAAAATAAAACAAATAAAACCTCTACATGGCAAATAAGCTAGGAAACTTTTTTGCAATTATATAACAAAGAATTACAATTTTTATATAGGAAGAATTAAAAAATTTAATATATAGGAAGCTCTCAAAAATCAATAAGGAAAAGACAAGGGCACAGCAAGGATATTTACCAAAAACAAAAATAAATAGCCATTAAACATATAAAAAGAATACAAATTAAAACAAGATACTATCTTTCACTTATCAGGCAAAAATAAAAATATATTCAGAAGTGGTGTTGGTATAGGGAAATAGCACTCTCATATATTATTGGTGGAGCCATAGAATGGCAACTTCTCTGAAGGGTATTTTAAAATATAGTACTTTCCGAAGACCAGAATGAGCACATTTCCTTAGCCAAGCAATTCCGCAACTAAAAATTCATCTTAAGGGAAAAAAATATGACAAGCTTGTAAAATTTCTGTACAATGATGGTCAATGCAGCACTGTTAAAAGCAACAAAATAAATTCATATAATAGATTACATATAAATTTTAAAATAGCTACTCTTTATGAAGCACATATGAACTAATTACATATATTATCTCATTTGGTTGTCACAAGAACTCTGAGAGCTATTATGCTATTCCCATTTTCATCTGAAAATGAGAAAATTGAGGTTCAGAGAAATAATGAGATTTGCCCAAGCTCAACAATCTAGTGAGTGACAGATACAGAATTAGAACAAACCTGGTCTGACTCCAAAAGCCAGTGTTCTTTAATTTAGATTACATTTATTGACAAGGAAGAACATTTATAACACAGTGTTAAATGAAAATGCAGTTTATAGAACAATTGCACAGTTTGATTCTATTTTGTAAAATATACACATAACTATAGCTATTAGACGTACAGACGTGAGTGGGGAAATTCTAGAAGGATATACATTAAAATGTTAATAAAGGTTCTCCTTTGGGTGTTTGGGGAATTTTATTTTTTTTCTTTATGTTTGTTTTCTTTACTTTTCTACAGTGATTAAATTTAATTTATAAATAGGAAAACAAGTCTACAAAACCAATGCCTCTTTGAAATTGTAAACCATAGCCTATCACCTATTTTACTACAAATGCGAAGTCTATTTGCTCCACACATTTTAAATAAATAAATAAGGCAGATCCTTCATACATTTATACTCAGCAAACACATCTTGAGCACTTACTACGTTCTGGGAACTATTACATAAATGATTTTGCTTCAGTGTACCTAGATTCTCCTATTTGCGCCTAAGTATGGCATCAAGGGTATCCACTCTCCCTCTCATATCTTGATCACAGCTATCTGCATTTGGATTTTAAATGTTATCTCTAATTATTGAGGGCAATTAAACCCATATTAAAGGCATATCTGATATTATACTACCAATGGTTGGCTTGCCTCAGTGATTTTAGGCTTTGAAGAGTCAGACAAATAAATGTCTCATCAATCACCTCTGTACTGCCCTACTCCTGAAAGTAGGGGGCATGCTGGCCTGAAGTGGATTCTTAAAGTTTATTTCAAAAGGGGAGGGCCACGTCTCAAAACCCAGACCACAGCGGCCACCACCATCAGGTGCAAATTCCCCACTTGTTAAATATTCCTTTTCCTATCTTCCCCCCACCTTTCTTACTCCCTTTCTTTCTGGAGCCCTGGGTCCTAACCCTAACCCTCCCTTCTGCTATAAGCCCATCAAATGGGGTGATTTTAGAACACATTCTCACTGGATCTCCTCTCTTTCCTTTAGACTTCCATGTATGTCTCATTCAGAAAATAATAATAATAATAATAAACAAAACAAAACAAAAAACACACACACCGTGGGGCTTTCACAGTCAAGACAGCTCTTCCCAAAGGGGAGGAAAACAGCTGCTCACCTGTCCCTGGAGACAGAGAAGGGGATGATCCCGCAGCAGTGAATGCCCAGGGGTGCGTGGTGGTGAGGGTGGGGAAGAGAGCAAATCTCTCCGCTCTACACTCTTATTGTGAGGAAGGATCCATCTGATTTTGCTAAAATGAGTGTTAGGAGGATTAAACTCTTCCTGGTACCACTGAAAAACAGCACGGGCACTGTTTGTACAGGCAGGATTTTTCAAATGGGTTTTGCAAAGTAAAAGAACACACACACACACACACACAGAGGATTTGGCCACATCGCTACAATACCGATTAGAGTCTAAAGCAGACGAGCAGTTGTTAGCAGCATTCATTAGCACAGTGCCCAGCACTAACACCGTACTGCCGGCACGACTGCGATTAGACAGAAGTCGGTGGGACGAAGCGTGGATCTGATTGGATGGCAACAGTGAGCGCCGAGCGGGGGTGCTGCCCTCCCGTGGTCGGCCGCGGCTTCCTCGGCTAACACTTCGGTGGCGATTAGAGACTTGCGGTACCTGAGCGAGCCCGGTTCACGCACCCGCTGTGAACCTCCACAAGAAAAGGCGGCGGGTACAGCTCTGGGGCCCCGATTCACAGAGCCCGGAGCCTAGTGGCTGGGCGGTGGTGACCGCCGCGTGTGCGCATTACCTCCTCTCACGGGAAGGGCGCTCGCCCTGCGCTCGCGTCCACACTGAGCGTCAGCGGTTTGGGCACTCTTGGCGGCGCCCAGGGCCCGAGGCAGCCCTGACCCGGGCAGGGGTGGCGACGCCCGAGCACCCCCAACCGCCCGCGCACCCCCAACCGCCCGCGCACCCCCAACCGCCCGCGCACTGAGGCCCGAACAAAGCGTGTGGGCGGCAACGTCGCGCACCCTGTGGAGGTCACCTAGGAGACCAGGCCGGCCCCGCCCACGGCGTCCGGCAACCTAGCCCCGCCAGGGCAGAAAATGGAAGAGCCTCCCGAAGAGGGTCCCGCAGAATCCTTGGCACCTGAAAGCACAGCCAAGTCCCCGGATGACAACCACACAGATGGCGAGGAAGACAACTGGCAGAACCAGGATGAAGAAGAGGTAGATGACCAGACTGATCCCAGAACGGCTGAGCAGGTTGCCCAAAGAATGTCCGGACAGACTGACCACAAAGGATCTGAACCCACTGGGCGCCAAACATCTGATCAGGCTGATCTCAGAGCCTCCGACCACGCTAATGTTGCTCAGCGTAGTACATCTGATCAGGACGACCAAAGCATGTATGAACAGACAGACAGCAGGACATCTAGCCAAGCCAGTCATGTACAGTCTGAAGAGACTGACAGCCAGATGTTTCCTCCACGTGAACAAAGAACTTCTGAACAGATTGAACGCAGACGGTCCAGCCAGGTTGAAGGAAGAGATTATGGGCAGACTGACCGCAGAATGTCCGACCAGACTGAGCCAAGAGCTTATGGGCAGAGTAATCGTAGATTGTCTAGCCAGTCGGAAAGAAGAACTTCTGAACAGATTGACGGTGGATTGTCGGTCTCATCCGAACAAGGAGCCTCTGAACAGATTGGCCGCAGAATGTCCAGCCAGACTAACAAAAGAACTTCTGAACAGATTGACAGCAGGTTGTCTGGCCTGGTTGAACGAAGAACTTCTGAAAAGACTGGTCACCAAGTTGACCCCATAACATCTCTAAAGACTCAGCAAAAAGTGGATGAGGAAGCTGCTGAAGGAGCTGAGCAGCAAGCTGACAGCAGTGCTGATCACCTTCCCGTGGACAAGGCTGACTACAGTGACCAGATGGATCACTTATTGGCTGAAGAGAATTCCTACAAAGACTACCTCGCTGACTATGGAGCACCTGGCCAGTATGACGACAGAATATTTGCCCAATTTGGTGACATTAAGGGGTACAGAGAGGCTGAGCCCAGAATAGAACCCTGCGAATTTGAGACCAGAGAAATCGACGGCAACAATTCCCCAGTTTCAGTGGAAACAGACACGGAAAGTGCGACCAACGTGCGAGTGTTTGACTCATTTGGTGCCAGATTCAACAGTAATTTGCAAGCAAAAGACCAAGTCTATTCCCAGAGATTCCCCTGTATCTCATCCAAGTTGGACTATATCATCGGTCGAGAAAAAACTGAAGCCATCGAAACCAAGCCTGTAGGTTAAAGGGGCATTTGATAACCACCTGGGGGACTGGAGGCCAAACCAAGGGTTTGTTGTGGCGGTATGGGGGCAGGGAGAGGGCACGTGTTGAATCAAAGATGAGGAATAAACCTACCTGTTACAATTTATTCAGGAAGCGCAGAAGATTCCGAAAAGGCAGAAGGGTGGTGGGAACTAGATTTGTTGCCCTCTCTGCTATAGGAAGGCCATTCAGGAAAGATCAATGAGCCAGGATTCAGGAGACCTGGGTTTCAAGTCCTAGTTCTGCTGCTTACTCTGGGACACTAAGTCATTTCCCCTCTCTGGGATTCCTCCAGAGGAAAGTCATTTGGAGTCAGTTGGAGATCCCTGTGAAGGGAAAAGTATTTGAAGTAGATTGGACATGCATAAGGTGCCTCCCGGGACTTAGGGCGCACTATGTTGCCAGGAGATCAGTCAGGTTTGTCATCAGAATGTGTCTTTTCTCCAAGTCCTGGTGTTCAGGTCCCATCAACACCAGATTCCACTGATAATAACAACAATAACAATAAAACTTCCTGGAGCTTTTGAACTTATTAAAGACTCTCTGCTGGGGTGGGGGGGTATTTCTATTTCAGGATGATATTCCAGAATACCAAGAAGGAAGGAAATCTTTTGGATACAATCAAACTTACAGGAGGCAGTTCCCTCCCATTGTATATGAAGATCCTTATCAAGTTTCACTACGATACATGGAGAAGCACCACATTCTGCAAATATTCCAGGTAAACCTCTCAACCCTGTTCTTTAAGAGTGAGTTTTACAGTGATTACAATGTAAAAAACAAACTTGGACCTGGCTTTTAAGAATGGGCCTTTGTATAAAAAGGATATAATCTCATTGAGAAGTCGGTAAGTGCACTGAGATGTATTAAGCAAAAGTAGTAAATGAGAAACACCAAAGAATGGGGGTGCCTGGAGGGCTCAGTCAGTTGAGGGTCTTCGGCTCAGGTCATGATCCCAGGGTCCTGGGATGGAGCCCCGCATCCGGCTCCCTGCTCGGCGGGAAGCCTGCTTCTCCCTCTCCCACTCCCCCTGCTTGTGTTCCCTCTCTTGCTGTATCTCTCTGTCAATTAAATAAATAAAATATTTTTTTTAAAAAAGTGTGACATTTCCTTGGTCAATAGAGAATTAGAAGAGATTATCACATTTACACCATGTTTTGTTATTTGGTGGGTTGTTTTTGCTTTTGTTTGCCTGACATAGTTATTTTTATGTTAATATTATTACCCAGCAAGGCACAGGTATGTATATTATAATGTGTACATGTAGTAACGTTGTAGTTAGGAGGGTGTAAAATAAAAATGGCCCACCTCAAATGAAAATATGCAAACTGGGAGGAAAAAAAAAACATTTAAACTGGGAAAGTTTAAGTTTAAAGAAGCAGGGTATAGAGGCAAAAGCACAAATTATGCAATCTGTTAGCCTGAAGCTCCAACCTAACTTTGCCACTTCTCATCTTTGTGATTTGGAGAAAATTAACTTCAGTGAATCTCCGTTTCCTCATATAAAACAGTGATTTTACTCCATTAACCCTGCTCTATGCCTTTTCTTTCTTTCTTTTTTTTTTTTTTTAAAGATTTTATTGATTTATTTGACAGAGAGAGACACAGCGAGAGAGGGAACACAAGCAGGGGGAGTGGGAGAGGGAGGAGAAGCAGGCCTCCCGCCGAACAGGGAGCCCGATGCGGGGCTCGATCCCAGGACCCTGGGATCATGACCTGAGCCGAAGGCAGGCGCCTAACGACTGAGCCACCCAGGCGCCCCTCTATGCCTTTTCTTTCTTAAAATGTCCTTTTGTGGGAGAGTGCTAATGGCTGGGTTTTCTGGCTTTAATCAGAGAACTACTAATTATTAAACTGAAGGATGAAAGCTGTTGAAGAAAGTAGAAATCAAATCATTTTATAAATAATTTTCTTCATCTGTCAAGGAAAAACAATACTTGAGAATACAACGTTATTATAAGAAAAATTAGTTATCAAATATGTGTTCAATAGAAACATATATGAAATATGTAATTGGCATGGGTGCATTAAACGGATATTAAATATTTTACACCTGCAACTTGCCCCGTTGTTATTCCCTGCAAATGAGAATTCTGCTTACTTTATTATAATGTTTTGGGTTATTAAACAACAACAAAGTATGGAAGTGAATTTCTGAAGTTTTGTGTATGCTTTCTCATTTATTATTATAAACATGAAACATCTTTTTCACCTTTTAGAATCAAATGCCTCACAAGGAAGTTTCTATGTAAAGACACATCATGTTTTTAATTTACTCAAAAGACTTTTCTTTTGAATAAAGATAAAGTGATTAATTCATTAATTTCTCAGTCTAGCAAAATCACAATTCTCAAAACAAAAACTTTGTCCAAAACTTTCTCACTACCTGTTTGATCTTGGAAGCTAGAAAAATATCCATTGCTATTTTTTACTAAATTTTTATTCCTCTAAATTTTACCTTAATTTGCCTAATTTTATCAGTAGTCAGAAAGTAATTTGTCACTTTGTAGAGATACATAAATTTCTTTAAAAGACTATGGTGCTAGGTTAGTGCAAAACATGGCTTTAGCTAGAACCTGACCACATAACTTTAGCTCAGAACCATAACGCGATGCCTCATGCTCTCTCTCAGCAGATCACTGAAAACTTAGTCTGTGAAAAACCAGAGGACCCCCTCAGTTTTATGCTGTGCCAGGTATGGAATAGGAGAAAGAGAACAGCTTTTAATTCTGTTTATTGTAAAATACAGCACACGTACACGCACCCAAAACAAAACACATCCAGCTCCGTGGGTTATCATGAAGCGAGCACTTATAAACTGTTGAATGCTAATGTCTTTTTAGCATTAGCCACATATTGATGGGTGAATAGTAATCTCTGCAGCGTCCGTCTGCTTTTTCCTGATGACTAAGGCAGCTGCATACCTTTTGTTTATTGGCCATTTGGAAGTACTTCTTTTTCTATTGTATTGCTTATCTTTTTCTTACTCATTTGTCACAATTTTGTATGTATTCTAGAAGGTGATGAGCCCTTTGTTGCGTTTCTTGCAGGTTTCTTCTCCTGCTCTCTGCCTTCCCTTTTTATCTCTTAAAGGTATCTTTCGATGAACAGAAATTCTTAATTTTGATACAGTCACATTTAACAACCTTTTTAATTTATGATTAGTACTTCTGGTGTCCTCTTTTAGAAGTCTCCTTAGTCCAAACTCCTGACATAGCCCCTTACATTATCTCATAGAAGTTTGTGGATTTTTTTTTTTTTTTGGTGGGGGGAGTTAAATTTAGTTTATTTTGCCTTTCACATTGATATCCAGTCACTTCGGAATTGATTTTGTGTACGGGTGTGAGGTGGGATCAAGTTTCATTTTTTTTTCCTAATCAGACATCCAACTGACCAAGCACCTTTTATTAAAAAGACCGTATCTCCCATACTGCTTTTTATTTGATTTTGATGGTACATTGCTCCATATAAGACTGTCTTAATTAGTAGGCCTTAAAATAAGTCTTAATATCAATCGGAGCAAGTCCTCACATCTTACTTTTCTTTAAAAATATCTTGCTTATTCTTAGGCCTGTGCATTCCCATATCAATATTTGGAGTTACTTGTCAAGTCACATACACACACAATCAGAAGCACACCCTGGTGGGATTTTTATTAGGATTGCACTGAATCTGTAGATCAATTTGGGAAGAAGCGTGGCTTGAAACAATGAGTATTTCCAATCCTTTATCCTCTGCATTTATTTAGGTCTTTAATTTCTCTCAGTACAGTTATTATTTGCATGAAGATTTTACATATTTTTGATAGATTTATTCATAGGTATTTTATAATTTTGATGCTTTTGTAAATAGAAACTTTTAAAAATTTCAGTTTCTATTTGCTGGCATATAGAAATACAGCTAAGTTTTTTGTTGATCTTATATCTAGCAACCTTACTAAATTCAACTCATTAATTCTAAACATGTATATGTAGATACTGTGGGTATTTCTACATATACAATCATATCATTTGCAAATAGTGACAGTTTTATTTGATCTTTCTAATCCTTATCTTTTTTTCCACTTGTCTTATTCCATTTATTATGTATCTTCTCTTTGCCTCTTCAGATCCACCTTTTGCTCTTTTCTACCCTACAAAGTAGCTAATCCATATGGACTAGATCAACAGGCTCTCCTACCTTCTGACTTCTGGTTGGGTTAAGCCAATGGAAAACCCTGGAGGAAGAGAGTGAGATCAGGTTTATTTCCCTGGTCTTTTTCCTTATGATCTGTCTTGAGTTGTCTGGAGGTCCCTGCTCCTCTCAAGACATCTTTTTACATGACTCTTTACTTCTGAATTCCAGTAATGTCCTCTCCTCTTGACCTTCAAGGTTAAGGGGTTAGCTCCCTTTTACTAGCTTTGGATTATTGTGTTTTCTTCTGTGACTCCCTTATGCCTAATTCTTTTATTTTTTTTTTTAAGATTATTTCTTTCTTTCTTTATTTGACAGAGAGACCGTGAGAGAGGGAACACAAGCAGGGGGAGTGGGAGAGGGAGAAGCAGGCTCCTGGCTGAGCAGGGAGCCCAATGCGGGGCTCGATCCCAGGACCCTGGGATCATGACCTGAGCCGAAGGCAGACGCTTAACGACTGAGCCACCAAGGCGCCCCTGCCTAATTCTTTTAAATGAACCCTTTCTGAATGAACCTCCCTTGAATTCTTCTATTTTGAAAGTGCCGTCTATTTTCTGTTGGGACACTGACTGATACAGTACACTGGTTAGGGATCTCCAGTGAAATTAATATTGAATAGAAGTAGCTACAGTGGTTCACTTTGCTTGCTCTTGATCTTTAAAAAAAAAAGTTTTCCCTATTTAACCGTTACGTATGATGTTTGCGCTGTTCTATGGATACTAGTAATCATATTAAGGAAGTTCTTGTCTGATCTGTTTTCTGAGAGTTCTTCATCATGAATCATTAACTTTATCAAACTATTTTTCTATAGCTTTTGAGATGATTGCATGATTTTTCTCCCTTATTCTGGTGATGTAGTAAAATATGTCTATTTTCATTTCTAAAACTTTTCAAGCATACATACAGGAAATTATACAGATCAAGACTGTACAATTTGACTAATTATCACTAATTTAATAGACCCATGAAACCACCCACCAAGTCAAGAGACAGAATGTTACCAGCTCCTCAAATCCCACATGGTGCCTATTTCCAATCACTACCCTTTCTCTTCCACAAAATAACCACTATTCTGACTTCTAGTTTAGTTTGGCTTTTTTAGATTTTCATATAAATGAAATCTCAAATATTATGTACTATTTGGGGGCTGACTACTCTTGACCAACAGTATGTTTATGAGATTCATTCATCTTGTGCATATTCATTCGTTTTCATTTCTGTATTCTCTATTCTGAGTTAGACTTTTGGTTGTTCTGAATAATGCTGCAGTGAACATTTGTGTACTTACCTCTTGGTGCATGTGTATGTGCATTTCTGTTGGGTTCAGACCTAGAAACGGAATTGCTAAGTCACAGGGTATTGACGTAAGTTCAGCTTTAAAAGATGGCTGCCCAAAAGTTTTCCAAAGTACTTGATCAGTTTATACTCTCACTTAAAGTGGCTTTGTTCTAGTTTTCTTCACGTTTCTTGTGCCATGGTACTTTGAACTTCTAGGAACTGTAGGCTCATGGTTTTCATCATATTTGGAAAGGTATCAGCCACTATTTCTTCAAACATTCTTCTGTCCCAGGCTCCTCCTCTAAGAACTCAATTACAAATATAATGGGCTCCTTGAAGTTGTCTCACAGCTCACTTGATTCTCTTTATTAAAATTTTTTTCCTCTCTCTGTATCATTTGGGATACTTTCTATCACTATGTCTTCAAGTTTACTAATCTTGTCTTCTGCAGCGTCTGAAGTACCATTAATAATAAAGTGCCAGTGTGTTTCTCACTACATACATCATAATTCTGTAGTTTCATCCCTAGGAGTTTAGTGTGTGTCTTTTCTAGAGTGAAGATATCTCTACTTTACTTTTTGCTCATGGAGAATACAGTTATAGTAACGGTTTTAATTTCCCTGCTTCTTTATATGTCTGGTAATTTTTTTTATTGAGATATAATTGACACATAACATTGTATTAGTTGTAGGTATATGCCTGGCAATTTTTGATTGGTATAAGATATTATGAATTTTGCCTTGGTGGGTACTGGATTTTTTTGTATTCTTGTAAATATTCTTAGACTTTATTTTGGGGCCCAGCTAATTTACTTGGAAACAGCTTGGTCTTTTGAGATTTTGCTTTTAAGATTTTTTTTAGAGGAGCAGAAGAGTTTTCAATCTAGGGCTAATTATTCCTATATACTGAGGCAATTGAGTATTGAGTATTCTACCCAATGCCCCATGAATCATGAGGTTTTCCAGTTTGACTGGTGGTAATAGGCACTATTCCTATAGATCAATTTTCCATGGCTTCTGCTAGTTTTCTCACACACATGCACTGATGGATTTGCAGAGGACAATTTGAAGGTGACTTTCTGCAGCTTTCCAGAGTGCTTTCTGTGCCATTCTCTCATCTCTGGCACTCTGCCCTGTGAACTATAACTGCCTTGGTTTCCCCAGGATCTCAGCTCCATCTTCTCAACTCAAGGGTCTGCCGAGTTCCTCTTGGGTTCTCATTCCCTACACTAACACCAGGACATTTTCTGAAAACAGCAAGGTACATGCACATTTATGATTATTATGTCTTTCTGATTAATTGACTCTTATCATTATGAAATGTCCATCTTTCTCCTTGGTAATATTCTTTGCCTCTGATATTAATATAGCCAGTCCAGGCTTCATATCTTACAGTTTACTTGGTATATTTTTTTCATCCATTTATTTTCAACCTATCTATGCTTTATATTTAAATTGTGTCTCTTGTAAGTACTACATAGTTGGGTCTTTATTATCCTTTCTGATAATCTCTCCTTTTTAACTGAACCGTTTAGGACAGGGTAGGCAAACTATGGACCACCTGGTTTTAAATGGCCCACAAGGTTAGAAAGAATTTACCCTTTTAAAGTGGTTGAAGAGGATGGAGGAGGAGGAGAAGGAAGAAGGAGAAGAGAAATAAGTGCAAGGGGGAGGGGGCCTCATCAACAGCGACAGATAATTTGTGTCCTGCAAGGCCTAAAATGTGTACTATCCAGCTCTTTTCAGAAAAAGTTTGCCAACCCCTGGTTTAGACTATTAACATTTAACCTAATTATCAATATGGTTGAATTTAGAGCTCTCATTTTATTATTTTTCTTTTTGTCTCTTTCATTCTTCTGTCCGTCTTTTATCACCTTCTGTTGGATTATTTGAATAATTTCAGTATTCTACTTTAATTTGTGTATTGGCTTTTAGCTGTACCTCTTATTATTTTTTAGTGATTGCTCTAGGTATTGCAATATATATTCCTAGCTTTCCACAGTATAAAATTAATACTTGTATCACTGCACATGAAAAGGAAACTATAATCATATAGGGTCCTTTACTCCCATCTGTTCTTTTATGTTAAACTTGTCGTATCTATCACTTTCTACATAAGTGAAAACCCCCACAAGACAATAATTTTGGCTTTAAATAATCATATGTATTTTAAGGAACTTACAAGAAAAAAGTCGTCTTTTACATTTATCCAGATAGTTTCTGTTTCTAATGTTCTTCCTTCCTTAGTGAATTTTCATGTTTCTCTCTGAAGTTATTTCCTTTCAACCTGAAAAACTTTCTCCAGCATTTTTTGTATTGCAGCACTGCTGGCAAAGAAGACTCTTGGTTTTCTTTTACCTGAAAATCTCTGACACATTCCTTCTTGTAGAACATTTTTGCTGGCTAGAGAATTCTGAATTGACTTGTCCAGCTCTTAAAAATGTGGTTTCACTCGTTCCTGGCCTTCATAGTTTTGGATGAGAAATCCATAGTCTTCCAAATTGTTGTTCCCCTGTACGTACTGGGCCATTTGTCTCTGACTGCCTTCATAATCTTCTCATTTTCTTTAGTTTCCAGAGGTTTTACCATGATGTTCATTGGAATTTATGATTTTGGGGGTTAGCTGAGCTGCTTAAATCTTATATATTTTTATCTTTCACCAAATTTTGGAAGTTGTCTGCCAGTTTCTTCAGATATTTTCCTGCCTCATTCTTTCTCTCTCCCTCTTTTCTTTTTGATACTCAAATTAACCTTATATTAGACCTTTTGGTATTATCCCACAGATGCCCTAAAGTTCTCTTCATTTCTTTCAAGTTTTCTTGCTCTCCAGGTCAAATAACTCCTTGGTTCTATTTTCAAGCTCACTGACTCTTTCTTCTGTCATCTATATTCTCTATTAAGCCCATCCAGTGATTTTTTTTTTCAGTTCTGAAATTTCTGTTTGGTCCTTTTCTTTATTTCTATTTATCTTCTGGGATATTTTATATTTTCTTTGATTTCCAGTATATTTTCCTTTACTTCATTGAGCATAGGTACAATAACTGCTTTAAAATGCTTATCTGATAATCTCAACATTGGATCATCTTGGAGTTGGCTTCTGTTGATTGTCTTTTCCATTTATTTTTAAAATTTTATTATGGTAAGAACATTTTACATGAGATCTACCCTCTTAACAAATTATTAAGTGTATCTTACATTATTATTGACTATGGGTACAATGTCATATAGTAGATCTCTAGAGCTTATTCATCTTGCTTACCTAAGACTTTTTGCCCATTAATTAGTAACTCTCCATTTCCCCCTCGCCCTAACCATTGGCAACCATACTTCCATTCTTTGATTCTGTGAATTTGCACTTTAGATACCCCATGTAAGTGGGATGCAGTATTTGTCTTTCTGTGACTGGGCTATTTTACTTAGCATAATGTCCTTATTCATCCATATTGTCACATATTGCGGACCTTTGTTCTTTTTTGAGACTGAATAGTATTTTATTATGTGTGTATAACACATTGTCTTTTTCCATTTATCTGTTGACTGACATTTAGATTGTTTCCACATCTTGGCTACTCCGAATTGTGCTGCAATGAACATATCTCTTCAAGATCCTGATTTCAGTTATTTTAGATAAATACAGCAATCCCAGAAGTGGAATTGTTGGATCATATGTAGTTCTATTTTTAATTTTTTGAGGATTCTCCATACTGTTTTCCATAGTGGCTACACTATTTTTGCATTCCCACCAATAGTGGGCAAAGGTTCCAATTTCCCCACATCCTTGCCTACATGTATTGTCTTTGTTGTTTTATAATAGTTATCCCAACTGGTATGAGATAATGTCTGGTGGTGGGTTTTGATTGCATTTCCATCATGATTAGTGACACTAAACATTTTTTCATATACCTGTTGGTTATTTGTATGTCTTCTTTGAAGAAATGTCTATTCGAATCCTTAGCCTATTTTTAAATTAAGTTATTAGTTTTTTTTACTATTGAGTTGTAGGTATTACAATATATATTTTGGAGATTAACGCTTTATCAAATATATGGCCTGCAGATATTTTCTCCCATTCTGTGGGTGGCCTGTTCACTCTGTTGATTGTTTCTGTTGCTATGTGGAAGATTTTTAGTTTGGTGTAGTCCCACTTATTTATTTTTGTTGCATGTGCTTTGGGTGTCATATCCGTGAAATAATTGCCAAGACAGTGCCGTGAAGCTTTCCCTCTACATTATTTTCTAGGAATTCTACCGTTTCAGGCCTTATGTTTAAGTATTTAATCCATTTTGATTATTTTTATTAAGGGTCCAATTTCATTCTTTTGTGCGTGAACAGCACCATTTGTTGAAAAGAGTTTCCTTCCCTCTGTGTATCTTTGGCACCCTGTTGAAGATCTGTTGACTGTGTATGTATGGATTTATTTCTGGGCTCTCTATTCTGTTCTATTGGTCTGTATATCTGTCATTATACTGGTACCATATTGTTTTTATTACTGTAGCCTTGTAATATATTTTAGAATAAAGAAGTGTGATGCCTCCATCTTTGTTCTTCTTTCTCCAGCTTAATTTGGCCATTCAAGGTCTTTTGTGGTTCTATAAGAATTTTAGAATTTTTTTTTCTATTTCAACATTCCCTGGAGGAATATGACAGAACTCAGTCTATGTAACATACTACTCACAATATGCATACTATGATCTAAAATTATGCTACTTACAAAAAAACCTAGGAGATGCAATCCATTTTAAGTGGAAAAGATGATTTTACATCTTCCTTTTTGGTTTGGATGCCTTTTATCTCTTTTCCTTGCCTAATTGCTCTGGCTAGAACTTCTAGTACTATGTTCAAGTGGCAAGAGTGGGTATTTTTGTCTTGTTCCTGAACTTAGAGAAAGAGCTCTCAGGTTTTCACCACTGCGTATGATGACAGCTGTAGGCTTTTCATAGATGGCCTTTAGTATGTTGAGGTAACTTCCTTCTATTCCTTCTTTTTTGAGAGATCTTATCATGAGAGGGTGCTAAATTTTGTCAAATTTTTTTGGATCTATTAAGACAATCGTGATTTTTATTCTTCATTTTACGAATGTGGTGTATCACATCAAATGATTTTTGTTCATAGTATACAGGTGTTATTTGCAGGCTTCATTTTGTAAGTGCTTATTCTTGCGTATAGGAAGCAGCTCTTACTTTTTTGTATAAAACATATGCATTTAAGGTTTTATCACATAAGTCTAACTATGTGGTATTTTCACTTATTTAGTTCAAAATCGTTTCTAATTTTCATTATGTTTCTTTTACAACTCATGGGGTTTAGGGACATTATTTATATAAATTACCAAATACTGGATTTTATAATTGCCCTTTGGTTAATGATTTTTAAGTCAATTGTACTTTATTTATAAAACAAGATTTCAAATATTTGAAATGTGTTGACTTGCTTTATGATGCAACATATGGTTAACTGTGAATCAACTAATTGGGGTTGTAAAAGTGTAACTGCAATTATTAGAATATATCCATTAGATCAAGTGTTCTAAATATATCCATTAGATCAAATGTTCTAAATATATCCATTAGATCAAGTTTGCAAAATATATTGTTCAAGTCTTCCAATATGATTGTGAATTTGCCTGTCTCCTTTAGTTCTGTTAATTTATGCTGTGTGTATGTAGTTAAGATTATGTTATTAGGCACATATGAATTAGAATTCTTATCTTTTTCTGGTGACTTGAACTTTTTTATCATTTAGAGGTATATCATGAATCCTAACGACTCTATTCAGTATTGTTATAGCTACATCGGATTTATTGTAGTCAATGTTTAAATGATATAATATCCTTATTACTTTTAAGTTTTAGATGCCTTTCTTATAAATAGCATATAATTTTTATCCTTATTCAAATCTGACAAGTTTTTAATTTTAACCCATTTATATTTGATGTTATTAAAGATTATTTGGGTTTACATCTAAAGTCCAACTATATGCTATTTTTTCTACCTGTTCTGTTTCTTTTTCTACTTTTTGCCTCCTTTTATCACTCCATTTTTCTATTAGTTTAGAAGTTATACACTCTGAATTTTTTTTGTTGGTTTCCCATTAGGGTAATTTCAAAAAATTGACAGGCTTTATATTTTTAGAGTAGTCTTTAGGTTTACAGAAGAACTAAGCAGAAAGTACAGTGAGTTCTCATGTACTCCTTTCTCCTTTCCCCATTTTCTACCCCTAGTTCCCCTGTTATTGACACCTTGAATTGGTGTGGCACATTTCTTACAGTGATAAGCCAATATTGATATATTATTATTAATTGAAGTCCATGGTTTACGTTAGGATTCTGTCTGTGTTGTGAATTCTATAGGTTTTGGCAAATGTATATGATATGTATCTGTAATTACAGTATCACACAGAATAGAGTCACTGCTCTAATAATTACTTTTAATATTTTTTAATGGGGGTGCCTGGTGGCACAGTTGGTCAAGCATCTGACTCTTGGTTTTAGCTCAGGTCATGACCTCAGGATTGCCCAAGATTGAGCCTTGGGTGGGGCTCCACACTCAGCACAGAGTCTGCTTGACACTCTCTCTCCCTCTGCCCCTCCCCCCGGCTCTCTCTGTCTCTGTCTCTCTCTCAAATAAGTAAACAAATCTTTAAAATATATATATTTTTTAATGGTTCCCCTGCAATTACAACAGGTATTCTTGACTTATCAAAGTCTGAATTATTTGTCCTAGGTCAGTACAGGACTTTTGTATTTTAAATTTCTATATATTTTAACCCCTCAAGATATGGTAATTCCAAGTTGACCAAAATTGCAAGTGGAAAAAAATTCTTTTTCATTCTCTTCAGGTACAGGAAATGATAGAAAGCAGAGACAAAAGTGAAACCTACAAAGAATGAATTTCTCCTCAACATTGTTTACAACCCTCAGTATCAACACTATGTTCTGTCTCTCACTCCAAAAAATGATTTTTGAATGGTCATTGGTAGTGACTCTGCCTAAATATGTTCTTAATTTTTAAGTAAAAATCTATAGGGTATCTACTTCAAAAATTCACATGATAGTTAACAGATATCTCTGACTAATCATACAAAATATATACATGTTTTACTTATCCATGCATTGGTATTTCAGTACTCACTCCTCCAAAGCACTGCACAATAGTTAGTTTACAAATCTCAAGGAGGATCAAGAAAAGAATATGAACAATTTATACATAGGTCTCATAAAGCATACAAATCTATCATATCTCCAAGCTGTTTATAAAATTTTCAATCAGAAAATATGTGGAAAATAATTTTTAACAGCCCTTTCTTCCCCTCTCTTAATGGAAGGTGATTGTCGTAATCTCTTTTTTCTTGTCTTTTAATACCTCCAACATATTTTTACTATTTTCCTCTTTGATCCTGCCTGTTATATTCTGCTATTAGTAGAGGGGATTTAATCTAATCCTAGGGATAGCTCTCTTCTGATTTTTAACCTACAGCAAAATTCAAACACATTATACTACTGTGTACACACCTGTAGGAGAGGCAGAATCACACTTCCTCATTACCTTTATCCCCTGAGGAGTATCGACATTGTATGGACTGTGTAACCAGTGGAACTGGTATTTAAAAGCAAAAAGCCTTAACATGGTCTGTCTGGTATGAGAGTATCTGCCCAGCAATCATAACTGAGATGATCATCTAATACTATTTTTGGAAGCTGAACCTGTTGTTTAATTTCTATTTGAACATTAAAGCAGACTTGATTTTTTATACTGGTGACTTGGTGTGATTATGTGCCTGCATCACAATGAATTAAGTTTCTATTTGAACGGTCAAGCACAAATCCTACTTTTTTTATACCTGAATTTCATTTCTAATAATTATACCAAAAAATCTCCTGCTGACAACTTCAGAGTTTATTTAGTTCCTTCAGTTGTCCACAAAATGTGCATGTGCTCAGACTCAATAAATGTTCTCCACTCGGATAGGCAGCTTGTCTGTTCATTGTGGGCTAGCAAAACCAGGTGAAAGCTGGATAACTTATGGGAAAAGTTTGAGTGACATGACTAAGGTTATAGTCGGTTGAACAAAATAACCCAAAGATTATTAGTGTTCGAAAACTTGGATATTATCAGTAACATCTGAAATTAAGTATTAAATTTAGTTCACTGATTTTCAGCCCTAACACCAGACAGCTTTAATATACTTCTCAAAGCAGAACACTTCAGACCAGACCTCCCCAGTCATTTCAGCCCTACTCATTGGCGTTCTGTGATACATTTCACAACTGTCATTTTAACCTTTTGCCAATGAGGCAGTGGACCAGAGGGGATGAGCTTAACATGGCCCCATAACCCTATACGAACACATGTGACTGAAAGGAGAAGGAAGATGGGAGATCAAGGCTCACTTTCAGTGACTCAGGCTGTCTACTAAAAGAGCTGTCTAGAAGTAGAAGATCAATCAGCTAAAAGTATATTCAGTTCTTAGTCCCTAAGTGGTAAGAAGTAATCCCAGGCCCAGAGTAAACACTAAAGGTGAGAATCTAGGCAGAACGAGCTGTCGGCTAACAAGGGAAGTGGAGTCTCAGAGAAGGCCTTTTGCAAGTAGAGCTGACAGAGGACACGGATGGCCACGTGAAAGAAAATGTCATGGGGAGTAAAAGTTAGTGTCAAAACAACCAGAGATCAAAAGATGTGATCGGGCGCCTGGGTGGCTCAGTCGTTGAGCGTCTGCCTTCGGCTCAGGTCATGATCCCAGGGTCCTGGGATCGAGTCCCACATCGGGCTCCCTCCTCGAGGGGAAGCCTGCTTCTCCCTCTCCCCCTCCCGCTGCTTGTGTTCCTGCTCTCGCTATCTCTGTCTCTGTCAAATAAATGAATAAAATCTTTAAAAAAAAAAAAAAAAGATGTGATCCCCCTTGAGGGAATTCTCCAAGGATTCTTCTGAAGAAGGAGTTACTCCTACAGCTATGAGGTGTGAGTGTTCCAAGTGTTAAATGAGATAACATGTAAAAGCACTTAGAACACTGCCTGGCACTGTTAGCTCTTATTATTTTAGTGCTATTCTTATCCACAATATTAACATTCCATTTTACCTGAGCAATCGCAATGACCTTCCCTCACTGCATTCCCCACCAGCCCAATCCCACTGTAACAGAAAGGAAAGCTACTAGACCAGTTTTCCTGGACCTGTCCCCTCCCCTCTTCCATTTAAAGAATAAATGTGAGACATCATTTATCATTAGGGAAATGGAAGTCAAAACCAAGATGAGCTACCACTTCACACCCACTAAGATGGCTGTAATCAAAAAGACTAACCATAACAAATGTTGACAAGGATGTGGAAAAATTAGAATACTATACGCTGTCAGTGGGAACGTAAAATGATACAGCCACTTTGGGAAACAGTCTGGCAATCCTTCAAAAAGTTAAATGTCATATTATCATATGACTTAGCAATTCCACACCTAGGTATATACCCAAGACAACTGAAAATATATGGCCTTACAAACCTTGTACACGCATGTTCCCAACAGCATGCGTAATAACCAAAAAGTGGAAACAATGCAGGTGTCCAGCAAGTGATGAATGGATTTTAAAAATGTGATAATCGCCAGATGAATGGAGAAACAAAATATCATAAATACATACGAAGAAATAGTATTCAGCCTTATAAAGGAAGGAAATTCTGTCACAGGCTACAATATGGGTGAACCTTGAGGGCATTATGCTAAGTGAAATAAACCAGCCACAAAATGACAAATAGTGTATGATTCCACTTATGTAAGGTATCTAAAGTAGGTCAGATTCATAGAAACAAAGTAGGCTATCAGGGACTGGGGGAGGGAAAATAGGGAATTGTTTAGCAGGCATAGAGTTTCAGTTTTGCAAGATGGAAAAGTTCAGGAGGTTTGCTGCACAGCAGTATGAATGTACTTAATACCACTGAGCTGTATATTTAAAAATGGTTATGATAGTCAATATCATGTGATATGTTTTTATCACAATTTTAAGAAATGAAAAATGAAAAAAATGTGATATATGTATACAGAATATTACTTAGTTATAAAAAGGAATGAAGTACTGATACACAACTATGACTTGGATGAACCTTGAAAACATTCTGCTAAGTGAAAAAAGCCAGACACAAAGGCCACACATTATATGATCCCATGTATGTGAAATGTCAAGCATAGGCAAATCCATAGAGATAGAAAGTAGATTCGTGGATGTCAGAGGCAAAGGAGGGAGGGTAATGGGGAATGAACGCAACAAGGATGAGGTTTCTTTTGGGGGTGATGATAATGTGCTGGAATCAGATAGTGTTCTAAAAACCCTGAATTATGCACGTCAAAAGGGTGGATTTTATGGTATATGAATTATATATCAATAAAGCTGTTATTTAAAAAAGAATAAGTGTGGACATTAATATTTTTAAGTCCACTTTATGACAGAGGAGAGTGAAGGAGAAACTCAGAATCAGAAACAGGAATATCTGAGCCTTCCAGGAGATTTATCCTATATCCTCCATTCTTTACAAATTCCCTTGTTTTACTCTTTGGTTTCTTGCATATGCTTTATTTTTTTGAATTAGCCTCCTATTACTTCACACACATGCACCTGTGTGTCCAGCTTTCTTGAGATCTAATTGACATATAACATTGTGTGAAGTGTACAATGTAATGATTATAAATATATGTATATACTGTGAAATGATTGCCACAATAAATCCTATTATTTCTTGACTAACTTACTCTGTTTTACTCACCCAGTCTCCTCCACTTACCTTCTTTTTTTTCTTATGTAATCAATGTGAATATATATATAAGTAAGTATATTAGTGCAATTATGTCTATTATGTTTTTGTGCTCGTGTGTCTAGATATATTTTTGTTGACAGAGGTGTGGCCAAGTGTGTTTCCAGGGATCTGTGTATCTATGCTGGAATCTTCACGTCAGTTGTTTGGGAATAATGTAAGACTAAAACTCAGAATTGTGGTTTTTTATGTGTGGCAAACAATGCTAGTGCGCTGGTGCCTTATTAGGCTCTCAAAAGGCTTTTTTTTTTTCTTGTAGCATTGGCAGAATTTGCAGTACACTAACATCAGAGAGAGAGTGGTAGTTTGGCCTGTTGTTATGAACAGAGGGGATTCGCATAGACAGAGTTAAGTTGTCTGCCTAATTCTGTGTTGTAATTTTGTTTAAAAAAGAAAAAGCAGTTATTCTCAAACTCCATTAAAATTATAGTAAAGATTGGGCACCTGGGTGGCTCAGTCGGTTA